TCAAGAAATTACACTCATACGGCTGGTGGGCGGCTGGCCCGAAGTCCCAGCGCCCCACCGCGGCGACCGGGCATGAACTTCGCATGTTCCCCGCGTCCTCGGCGGCGGGCCGCCAGCGGAAGGCCGCGTGTTCGCGGCGTCGGCAGCCGCGCGGGGCGCGCAGGGCATCGCTCCTCGAAGTCCTTCCCCTTTACGCGCTGGAGGGCCTTGCAGCGCCGGCCCATGGACTTCGCCAGAGGAGTCAGGATGGCCTCGGGCACGCGCTGGAGAGCCCGCCTGAGGCGCGCCGCGAAATGGGCCCTGGTTCCTCTTACCAGGCGAGCACGAGGGCCTCCTGCTGCTTGCGGAGGCGGCGGTTGACGCAACCCCAGAAGCCGCAATTAAACGGGCTGATGTCTGGCGAGCGCCTCGGAAAAAGGCAGCGCCTCGATGGAATTGTCGAACTTGGTCTGCGCTGCGCTCCTGCGCCCCGAAGGAGTCGCTGCCCCCCAGAACCGGGAAGCGCTTCTTGCTGGAGTACGCCCGGCGCAGCGCTGGCGACAAGGACTTCGAGTGCTGGGAACTGGGGCTGACGAGGTGCATGATTGCTAGATGCCGTGCACTTCGAGTCATAGAAAAGTCTGTGCTTCCATCGGTGGGGACGACGAAATGTTGCAAGTTGCTCCTGGCCGCGCACGGCCGCGCCGACATTGCGACGCCACCTCGACAAAACGCCCCCGCCCCCTAAATTTCAATGTTGGCATCGAGCGAGCACCCCAAGTCCGGGAGGACAAAATAATGCAAGTCAACATTGAAATACGGGGGAAGGGGAGCTCCTCGGATATCGATGGAATATGATCAAAATTGTCATCTTGTTTCTCGGAACGATCATATAACTTGCGATATTTTGTCCGCCCACTGCGTTTGTCATCCCCCTGCAGGGTGAAGGCTGACGCGGAGGGCGGGGGACTCGGAGAACTGGGGGAAGGATGATGGCGAGGATGATCAAGGGTACAGGGTCGACGTTCGGTCGAAGGTCGACTGCCGAGCTTCGAACACCGGAGCCGAGCCGCCACTGGACCGAAGGGTTCACGCCTCGCTGATGTCTGAGCTGGACCCAACTGGTTCGAGTTGGGCTGACCTGGACGCACCTGCGCAGGGCTGACCTGGACGGGACTGCCATATATTGAGCTCGGGGGGATTGGGCCGCGCAGACCTGAGCTGGGCTGCGCTGGGCTGCCTCCGCTGCGCAAGCAAAACAGAACAACAATATATTGGGCTTCGCCTTCGCCCGGCGAGCAGCGCCGAGCCCGCGTCGCGCCTGGCCCGCGCCAGGCCGATCGTGGGCCGCGACGAGGACATGCGCGGCCCTCGCTGCGATCGCATCGCCAGGCGCACCCTTGGCTGCGCTGGGCACTGCCCAGGCTTTGTGCCGAACGTCGCCCGGTGCTGGCACGCGGCCGCGCAGCGGGGCAGGGCGCGCCGGGCGACGACGGGGTGGCGGGGCGCGCGCGGCGCCTGCATCTGGCCTATTTGAATACTCCCAGTACATTGGAATAATATTTGAATACCTATTTGAATACTTATTTGAATACCTATTTGAAAACCTCAGTTATATGGGGGAACCGATTTGAAACTTGAAAATAAATAGAAAAAGAAAGAAAGAACATACATTCTTTTTAACTCCACTATTCGCGCGTAGCAAATGCAAATCCCCATATAGCTGCAGTTTTCATATAGGTATTCAAATAGGTATTCAAATAGGTATTCAAATAGCACTGGAGTTTTCAAATGAGGCAAATGCAAGCGCGGCGGGCGCGGGGCCGCCCTGTCGCCGCCCGCTGCTCTGAGCAGGCCACGCGCCAGCATCGCCCAGGCAGAGCCTGCCGCGCCGAGCCCGCGCAAGTCCGCCGCGCGGCCCAGGGGCGGCCGCTCGCGCTCCAGGCGCAGCCCGAGCGCGGCCCTGGCGCCGGCCTGGAAATAGCTGACAGGAGGTCAACGTCACTCCGCACCAACTCATGCCCGTCGGGCGCCCACCGCGGATGAGCCGACAGGCCTCGGCTGAGCACGCCAGCGCTTAGATGGGCAAAAGGGCCCTGCGACAGGATGTTTACTCCGGGAAGGCCATTGCGAGCGCGCGTCAAAATCGGCTGCCAGTCGGGAAAAATACAACTCAAGAAATTACACTCAAACGGCTGGTGGGCGGCTGGCCCGAAGTCCCAGCGCCCCACCGCGGCGACTGGGCATGAACTTCGCATGTTCCCCGTGTCCTCGGCGGCGGGCCGCCAGCGGAAGGCCGCGTGTTCGCGGCGTCGGCAGCCGCACGGGGCGCGCAGGGCATCGCTCCTCGAAGTCCTTCCCCTTTACGCGCTGGAGGGCCTTGCAGCGCCGGCCCATGGACTTCACCAGAGGAGTCAAGATGGCCTCGGGCACGCGCTGGAGAGCCCGCCTGAGGCGCGCCGCGAAATGGGCCCTGGCTTTCCTCTTACCAGGCGAGCACGAGGGCCTCCTGCTGCTTGCGGAGGCGGCGGTTGACGCAACCCCAGAAGCCGCAACTAAACGGGCTGATGTCTGGCGAGCGCCTCGGAAAAAGGCAGCGCCTCGATGGAATTGTCGAACTTGGTCTGCGCTGCGCTCCTGCGCCCCGAAGGAGTCGCTGCCCCCCAAACCGGGGAGCGCTTCTTGCTGGAGTACGCCCGGCGCAGCGCTGGCGACAAGGACTTCGAGTGCTGGGAACTGGGGCTGACGAGGTGCATGATTGCTAGATGCCGTGCACTTCGAGTCATAGAAAAGTCTGTGCTTCCATCGGTGGGACGACGAAATGTTGCAAGTTGCTCCTGGCCGCGCACGGCCGCGCCGACATTGCGACGCCACCTCGACAAAACGCCCCCGCCCCCTAAATTTCAATGTTGGCATCGGGCGAGAACCCCAAGTCCGGGAGGACAAAATAATGCAAGTCAACATTGAAATACGGGGGAAGGGGAGCTCCTCGGATATCGATGGAATATGATCAAAATTGTCATCTTGTTTCTCGGAACGATCATATAACTTGCGATATTTTGTCCGCCCACTGCGTTTGTCATCCCCCTGCAGGGTGAAGGCTGACGCGGAGGGCGGGGGACTCGGAGAACTGGGGGAAGGATGATGGCGAGGATGATCAAGGGTACAGGGTCGACGTTCGGTCGAAGGTCGACTGCCGAGCTTCGAACAGGGTGCGAGCCGGAGCCGGGCCGAGCCGCCACTGGACCGAAGGGTTCACGCCTCGCTGATGTCTGAGCTGGACCCAGCTGGTTCGAGTTGGGCTGACCTGGGCGCACCTGCGCAGGGCTGACCTGGACGGGACTGCAATATATTGAGCTCGGGTGGATTGGGCCGCGCAGACCTGAGCTGGGCTGCGCTGGGCTGCCTCCGCTGCGCAAGCAAAACAGAACAATATATTGGGCTTCGCCTTCGCCCGGCGAGCAGCGCCGAGCCCGCGTCGCGCCTGGCCCGCGCCAGGCCGATCGTGGGCCGCGACGAGGACATGCGCGGCCCTCGCTGTGATCGCATCGCCAGGCGCACCCTTGGCTGCGCTGGGCACTGCCCAAGCTTCTGTGCCGAACGTCGCCCGGTGCTGGCACGCGGCCGCGCAGCGGGGCAGGGCGCGCCGGGCGACGACGGGGTGGCGGGGCGCGCGCGGCGCCTGTATCTGGCCTATTTGAATACTCCCAGTACATTGGAATACTATTTGAATACCTATTTGAATACCTATTTGAATACCTATTTGAAAACTTCAGTTATATGGGGGGAACCGATTTGAAACTTGAAAATAGAAAGAAAGAAAATACCTTCTTTTTAATTCTACTATTCGCGCGT